AATATCAATATTTGGATTAATAATATATATCATTCATCAACTATATAAGAGATATAGATTATCACCAAAATTGCAAATTGGAAAGAAAATATGCAGACAAATAATAAAACAATAGGGATAACAATATAATAGTTTGAAAGCCTGACATAAATAGAAATATTTTACATGATAATATACAGAGAGAAAATCAGAGGAAGGTAGTGATAAAATAAGAAGCTCATCACCTATACAAATAAACTAAAGGGAATTTGAGTACATGTAAACTAAATGCTCAGTCTATTATATTATGTCTTAAAAAATCATAGATACATTGAGAAGATTTAATTACTACCTCTTATTATATTTTACCAAAGGTTTTGTCGGCACATGGATTTGAACCGAGATCTACCAAAAATGATATACCCCGTTGCAATGACAATTACGCCAAGAGCGCAAGACATGCAAAAAGAGGAATCAATTCAATCCATATGTGCAGATTCTATGGAAAGTGGAAGAGCAAAATTTTCTTATTGGATTTCTAGCGAGACCATATAGAAAATTGTTTATGACAATTGAGCTGCAACAATAGTTGAAAATCTGCACCAAATAATCTTCTACTACGATCAATTCAATTTCAATTGCAGTGCTTCGAGAGATTAAAACAATATGAAAACCTTAGCTTGGTCGGTGCATACATAGGCCTCAATGGGATAACTTTGAAACATCACTGTGCGCCATGTGTTTTTGAAGAGAGCTTTTCCTATTACTAATTGCTTAGTGACCTCACGAGTCACGACGGTAATTAGGAGAAAGTTGGAGCAGGTACCATGTCCTTATTGGCAACAATGATGAGATCATCTTTGCCTCCGCCTCGGCCTCTACCACGTACTAGCCGGATGTCATAACGACGAGCTCTATCCCCGCGCAGCAGAGATGAAACAGCTCACCATTGTTGGCCATGAGGAACGCCTGCTCGTCAATATCCTTGGCCAGATCCTTGCCGTTGCGGAGGGGATGGAGATGCCACCCATGACGCT